CCCCCCCCCCGGCCAGCAAACGAAGATGTCGGGGACCATTTCTCCGAGAGATAGGCTGCAGCTCTGGGTTAATACATTTTTGCTAAAGCAAAAGGAACACTCAGGTAGCGTAACCGCTACCTTTCGTGACATGGGCAGGGACCGGTGGGGTTTGACTGATACTGAGCTTGGTGAATGATGAATGAGGCAAGCAGTGGGACTCATTGCGTGCCAAGAAAAATTTAAGTGGTTAGTGGCACTTCAGCAAATTGTGAATGGGTGAAATCAGGAGGCGTTTGAATGGACACACCATTTGCTCAGTCCCTATCGTTTGTCTACCCGAACCAATTCACAAACGACCTCCGGGCCCACTGCTGGGCTATCTCCGAGCTGCGGGTGACACCAAGCAGAGCCTTGAAGGTTCAGCTGCTGGTTGAAACTTCCCAAGGTGAGGGAAGATTGAACACGTGCATGTATAATTGCATAATCCTTGCAAGTTTTCTGAGCCAAGGTCATTTACCATTGCCAGAATCTGCCGCAAGACGTAGAAATCCAGCCCTAAAGTGGAGATTGTTCGATAAACATGTTTAACAAAAAAAAAATATATATATATATATAGATAGATAGATAGATAGTAATTGTACGGGTCTGTCTCTAAGCCTGGGCAGGACCTTCTTGAGCCTTTGCCTATCTGTGTTGGGCAGGTCGTCTCAATTCTTTCTGGGTCCGTGTGTATACAGACAATGGCTTGGGCCTGGGGCATCTTTCTGCTTGAACTCGCACTTGCATTGTATTGGCTGCTTTGGGGGCATCTGGGGGCTGTGCCAACTTGCTCTGCTAGCCCTGGGCGCTGCACTTTCACCGCCACCTGCCAGTGCTAGTGGTTGGGACATGAGGACCTCGCTGTATTGGTCTGAGGGCAGAACCTCTCGTCCATCTAGAAGCTTGCCGCGGTACACCTGAAACCAAAGCAGGCAATATTGTGTGAGCATGCTGTTGAAAGAACACCAGACAGAACTGGAGAAACACACGTGCAACTGCATGTCATCTGCAACGCTCCAGCTGCAGACCGAAAACCGCCAGAAAAGTACACTGGAATTGAATAGAGGATAATAAAGGGATTGTTGAAAATAACAAACCTTCGTACGATCATGTTTCTGAAGAGTGGAGCATGCGTTCAGTAGATTCTCGCCATCAGTCCCTGACGTACTTTTTCCAAATGCAACGTGTGCTGACATCAAGAACAGTTCGGTTCAAACCTTGTTTCACATGTTTTGATGTCTCGAAATCCCTTTGTTCCCACATGGGTTTGAAGGACGTCCGGCTCAGAAATGGCAAGTCCAGCGGTCCACCCTTTCAGTAGCAGTGGCACAGCTTGCAGTCAGCATGTTTTCCCAAAGTCGCTTTAGGTTGAGGTTCTGCGTCGCGTTGCCAGTTGCAAGGGGCGGCCACAAAAGTAATTCACCACGTTAACACAACGAGACCCCGCACGTGCCCCACTGCAAGCTACTAGTATGATTCATACCCATCGCCTGTGCCAGTGAAGCAGCCTCCAACAATCGAAAGGGGCGAGGTTCGCAGCAAGTGCTCAACTACAAAATTAAAGGCCCTCTGTTGCTCAAACGACTAGTTGCCATCTTCGATGATCTTCGAATCATCAATCCCTGGGGCTTCAGCTGCGACAGGCTCTGGCGTCAGGGCAGCAAAGAGTGCTTGGTCGGTACCAGGGTGGGCAACTCAGTCTCACAAGGCCATGCAAGCTAGCAGAGATGACTCCTTTCGCCACAGCGAATGGAGACGAAAATCAAATGCTGCAATTTATCACAATGCTGTGCGATGAACTACTCTTCTGTGGGACTGGCGCTCCAGATTGCGTGACCTTACAATAATCAAGCAAATATTTCTAGAAGCACTGCATGAATCCAAATTGTCTGCAGTCCTGTAGCTAGAGTTTGACACCTGGACTCCCAAACGCGGCCACTGGCCCATTAAAACCGAAGGCCTGGCATGCGTGAGCTTCAGAGTGCATCACAACATTCAAAACTATTGAGCAAAGAAGCAAGGTACCAAAGAACCGAAGTGTTGTTTTTGGTGCACCACCCTTGTGGGGATCATCGGTTTAATTCGAATCATTGGGGTTCGTTCGCGCGAGTAGTAGAACACGACGGCGATGAATTGCTGCTGTGCCCAAAAAAGGTCCTGGGTGATCGGATGGTGGGGTGTGAGGGTGAAATCCCCCGCAGTGGTAGCGTGGTTTATCTACAGTTTCGACCTGGATCGGACCCACATGTTGAGACTGGATTCATTGAAGCATACATGGCTCAACCAACACCGAAGGGGTGCCAAAACAGGAAACAACACGGACACATGCGGTCTACCTATGGCTGTGTCTCAAAGAACATCGATTTGACTATTTCTCGGGCACACTTACAGGTACAAAAACTTTGCTCTAATTGTCGTCAATAGCAGCTGCAGCTTCTTGCAGAAAACATTTTTGCTCAATCCCGATACTTTGAGTTTCAATCCACTCACTTACCAACAAATTATTCTTCCAACACTCATGACCAACCTGAGCCTGTTGCTGTAGCAAAACACACGATGCACTTTCGGCAACTTTCCTTCGGAAAACGTGAGGAGTTTGATGCACCTTCGAAAACACTTCGATAAACTGAAACACATGCAGTAAGTATTTAGTAACAAAGGCACGGACACGAAAACCACTTTTAAAAACGTTGAAAGTTGCAGGCGGTGTATCAGCCGCAGTGCTTGTTTTTCTGTCGGCATTGAATCAGAGTGTCCAGTGGCCCAGTGTTGTGGGCCAGCGGTTCCGAGTCGCATAGTTTGCAGGCAGAAATTTTGTCTGGACTGCCAATGCATCAGCTGTGGGATCACGTGGGTTGCGCACGGACCGTGCAGGAAATGTGGGAACGCTGCACGGCGGGGCAGTAGCTGATGACACTTCCTCCCCCTTGACCTCTCCTCCGCTGCAAGTCTCTGAGATCCAGTTCCGCATCCAAGCTCCAAAAAAGTTGCCCACTTCACGGGACCGCGGCTGGGCTCAAAAGGTCTTGTTCCAAGGCCGAGTCGCACAGTTGTCTGGTTGCGGTTTCGGAGGTAGACTCTGGTGGGAAGGCAGGCAGCCGAATGCCATGATTGAGGGCTAGGACACGTAGCTCAATGACGACCCACGCACCCAGCAACATGCCCTCCACATCAAGAGGCTGCTCCTTAGTATGGCAAGTGGATCACCAGGTCTAACTCTACAAAGGGGTCGGAATAGACATTCTATTGTGCGCAGCATGGGAGGATAGATGTTGACAGGCCCCCGGGACGTATCTACACAATGTACTTTATTATGCAATTGTCCATAATCTACTTCGCATTTTGAGCTCTGCGCGTACTGTTTCATGTGGCCCTATTTGCGGCCATAGCATGACAACCACGCGCATCGCTGCCGCTTTCAACACCTTCAGCAACCACTGTCTTCGGTCAGGTCCAAAGCATTCAGGTCCAATTCATTCTGCCACTTTTGGGGGGTCTTGGTGTCTTGCCACAAAGTGTGTAGTGGAGCTTGTGTCTCCTGCTTCGCTATCGTGCAGACACACTTCGTGTGAGTTCGTTCATCCGAACTTTTAACCAGTGTTTTGCCTTCGTGACCATGGTCCAGATCTTTACGAACATAGGGCCGTGGGTTTGCCTGGTCTCGATGGCTGCAGGAGCCACGCGCTACTTGCCATTTAGAGCCACGCCGGCCACCGGCCATCAACACTCAGGCTATAGCGGACACCTGTGGCCACTCATTGGCTGGGGTGGATTGAGATTCCGAACAACAGAACACGCGCCGTTGCTCCCACCATGACAGGTGATTTTCACCACAGTAAGGGCATGGCTTCTTCATTGACCACCTCTACTCTACATGGCTCAGTTTTCCACATCCTTCCTGCAAGGTAGGATCCCATACCCCGGCCCAACGTACGGTTTTCTCCCGTCTCGTACATGCAAACATTGTCCAACAGCTTGCTGCATTTTGTTCTTGCCGGCTGCACTTGTATCCACATGCGAATACATATATATATATATATATATCCACGTTGACGACAAATTGGACCCGGCCTGGCCAACAAAATTGAACGCTATAGCTTAGCCATGTAACCAAGTTGGAAATTTGTTTCTGCTTTGACTACTTGGGAGAGTCTGACTATTTCCAGAAAGTGGTACGTAGCAACTTGAAAACAAAATCCTGATATATAATGCCGCTATTAAATCAAAACTCCTTATGGCTTAGAGACCCCGCAAATTCCAGCTGGTCTTCTTTCCCGCTTGGAAGCACGTCAATCGAAAGGTTTAAGGAAAATTTTTGGGCATGGCTGCCACGTACATAAATCGTGCCAATGCCAACGGAATCTGTGTTTCCGACCCGGAAAGAATGCCAGTAGAGGCGGCTCGCGGCTCCTGAACCCAAGCTTCAGTTCCAGAACGATGGAGCCACACGCAAACCAGGGAACCAAGAAGAGCAGGGGTTGCATACATCTCACGTTGGGCATACAGGATGCGAGGAGGCTTCTGACCTTGGGCAGTTGTCAGCTGATTGCCTTGATTTCATTCTGGGCTTGGACGTCCCGCTTCACGGACAAAGTCGACTCAGCGCTGGGCACAAAATGTCCCGCACCAGGCCCCCGAAGCAAGCAGTGCTCAACCCGCAAAGAGCGCAGGCACCTCAACCATGGGACATTCAACAAGCTACCGCTCCAATGCCTCTCAGTGCCACTGCAACTTGTTTGAGTTAACTCACACCCACCTGTGTGCACATGATAGTCTGGGAGGCACGCTGCAACACGTGCCCCAAGCACCGCAAAGGCAGCCAAGCCAATAGTGTCAGTCCAAAATACCTTAAATCAAACAATTATGGGCTCACTGGCTGTGGGGTTCTCCTCTCCATACGTGGAGGCAGGACAAGTTTGGTTGGGCGAGCCCATGCCTGACAGCACTATTCAATATTTGAATCGCTTCACGACAGTGGGTGAACGAAAGGTAGCAAATGGGCAGGAGGGGAAAGGAGAGAGGATCGCAAGGGGGGAGTCCACGTCACGAGCGCTTCTAACTGAATTCGGCGAATTCGGCATTGCGCGTGGCTTGGCGGTGGCTCATGTCAACCTGTGGCCCTGCACGCGATTCCCAAAGAAACAGACCGCGTTCAAGTTCGAATCGGAGGCTGCAGGATCCTAAAAAAGTGAAGCCCTCAGCCCCAGCGAGACAAGGCCAAAGAAACCCAAAAAAGCCAAGCCCTCAGCCAAGCCTCAAAAAAATAGACGTCCGCCCTGAACAGCCCGCAACGCTCCGTCCAATCCAACCCAAAGAAACAAAGAAACCCTAAAGAAGTGAAGCGCTAAGCCGAGCCTGCAGAAACCATAAAGAAGTGAGACCCGCAAAATCCCGCAAACCCAGCGAACCCGAAGCAAGACAAACCCAAGGAAGCCCTAAGTAGTGAAGCCCTACGCAAAAGAAGCCCTGAAGAACTCAAGCCCTCAGCCAAGCCTAAAGGAACCCGACTGAAGTCAGATCCGAACACCCCGCCCACCCCAACAAACCCTAAAGAAGAGATGGCCATGAAAGAAGCGAACCAGCCATACCCAAACAAATCCTATAGAAGTGAAGCCCTCAACCACAGAGATGAAGCAAACCCCGCCCCAAAGAAACCGTAAAGATGTCATGAAAGTAGTGAAGTTCGCAAGCCACAGCCAAAGAAATCCAAAAGACTAAAGAAGTGAAGCCCTAAGCCAAACCCAGAGAAACCCTGAACCCGCCAGCCGAGCCCCCAAAAACCTAAAGTAGCAAAGTGCGGATGCCAAACCCAAAGACACGGTAAAGACATGTAAAGACCACAGACATGAAGCCCTAGAAGCCCAACCAAAAGAAACCCCAAAGAAGTGAGGCCGTAAGCCCGCAAGCCAAAGAAACCCTAAAGAATTGAAACGCGAAGCCGCGAAGCCAAGCCTGAAGAAACCCTAAACGAAGTAAGACCCACAAGCCCAGCGAAACCCCGGCAAGACAAGCCCAAAGAAACCCCAAAGTAATGAAGCCCAAGCAAGACAAGCCCAAAGTAGTGAAGCCCTACACAATTTCAAAGTCAAAGGAACCCTAAAGTGAAGACCGAAGCCACAACTAGAGAAGAATACAAAGCAATACCCGAACACCCGGAACGTCACTCACCATACTCACCTACTATATAGTGAATATAGTGTCCGCTCGAGTTTGAATTCGAGTCCGAATTCAGGTTCGAGGCCTTCCACAGGGTTGAGCTCTAATAGTTCCAGCTCGAGTTCGAATTCAAGTTCGAGGCTTCTATGCTTCCAGGGTTGAGCTCTAACTGTTCCAGCTCGAGTTCTAATCTGGGATCGAATTCAAGTTCGAGCGGGGCACGCTATGCAAAGAAACATGCCTCAAGGATTGTCCAAACATCTCAAGATTTGCACCCAAACCGGGACGGTGCAGGGGAGATTTGATCCAGGGCCCCCCTGTCAAACAGAATCCCTTCTTACAGGACCAGTGGCAAAGTCTTGCTTACAATACATTTTTGCTAAAGCAAGGAGAACTCAGGTAGCTTGAGGCTACCTTTCGTGAAATGTCTCCCGATTCTGCATTAAAACAGCCCCCCTTCAAACATTTAAGTACTTACGGTACAAGCAGGTCGCTTGTCCATGCACCGTGAAACCCTGCTGCAATACTCTGCTACATTGACGATGAAATATGGCGAGTGGCAAATTCGCCTTCAACTGTAAGCTGGAAATGTTTTGCTAAGTGCGGCAGCGCGAAGAAAGCTCCGGTGGAAATAAGAATGCCTTGGAGGGAGCAGCGACTGAGGCGCTTAGAAAAAGAGCTTGGCCTGCAACGTTTGTTCACTCTCACCATCTCTCAAAGACATGGTCCAAATGACACAGGATCGCTTCGTCATACCTTGTCGTCCAGAAAATCGGCAGACGCCCAAGGACAACATCTCGAATGGTTCCTCGTGGGGCGCCGAAAAGGACATCCAAAATACTTTCCAAACCTGCTCATCCGGCTCTCTCAGTAATGCTTCAATTGCAGCCAAGATCCACCGCCAAGGGCAGTGACAAAGCCTACAAGGTTGCATCCGAGCAAGTCCATGCCGGCCACGCCTGCAGCCAGACTACCTGTGAAAGCAAAACTTGCGTCGCCCACGTAGTTCGCAACCAAAAAGGTCCTGAAGGCTGTGGAAGCTAACGAAGCTAAGAACATGGCTGACTGTGCGGCACTGCACGATAGAAAGCCATTGGAGCTTGGAACTAAAAAGGAGAAAGCGCCACGCCCACCACCTGATGAAGGCTCCTGTCTATTGTTACTACTTGTCGCTCGGACAGAAGGAAGACACAGGCCAGAGCTGCCACTAGAGCACAGCGTTGTCGATGTACCTCTTTCCCCTTGCTGGCTCCCATCTCACATGGCTCCAAGCAAGCAGCAGGTCTACGACATCGCACAGAACACCAGAAGGAATGAAAAGTGTTGATTGAAATCGCTTGACTTGACCCCATATTTGCGTATGCATGCAAAGAAATGTATATACACTAGTTGTCTATGAGTCTATGTTTAGTCTCTGTTCAATATATATACATATATATGTGTGCGTGTGTGCGTGCGCGCGTGTGTGCGTATGCGTATGCGTATGCGTATGCATGTGCGTCTGCGCATGGGTGTGTGTGTGTGTGGGTGTGTGGGTGTAGCCCGCTTTTTGACCTTTGAACTGGACCTTAGTCAACTGTTGCAAGTGGAGGAAGACTTCGAACTTGGTGTGTATCGATCGTAGAAAGCAGGGGAGTGCGGCGTGATTGTGGGACCGCACTCAACGAAGCTACCACAATCACGGGATACCGAGTCTGATCAACTCGGCGTACCTGCAAGTTGTAATCTTTGGTAAGGCACTAATGCATCGCTCGATGGTATCGTGGAGTTCACTTAGTATTTGATTTTTCGAGGCCATATACTTAGGAGGTTCCGGACTTTGACATCATCCTAAAGCTCCAACTTCAAGACCCATTCCCCAGTGTGTAGAGGGTGCGTGCCAGAATTGGCGACACCGTCGCGTGGGACTCTATAGTTGGCACGGGCCTTCCCGAAAGAAGGCATTGGTCCTCATTTGGAGGTAAGCATCACGCACGCCAAAAGTGGCGCTGATTAGTGGCTCGCAGAAAACACAGTCTCTGGACAGACTGTATGTAGCTGCAATCAAGCGCAGTTGCGAAGCGGCAGAAGTTGCTATCGAGCGCAGTTGCAAAGCGGCAGAAGTCGATTTGATTGATTACTTCAGTGCTTTGCACTCGTTGCCCGGATCTCAAGCACAGCCTTGCACTTGAGCTTTTGGCCTCGCTTCCGTTTAAGACCCCCAGGATCCTTTGGGTTTCTCTGCCGACTTGCGCTTGAGCTTTTGGCCTCACTTCCGTTTAAGACCACCAGGATCTTTTTGGATTTTTTTACTTGCTTTTGAGCCCCGCTCGAACCAAGGCACACATGTCTGAGGTTTTCTAACTAAGGATGCTAACGAGACCCACCGGTTTGGACCGTATTCGGCGTCGGCCTGTTGGACTTTCGGGACACTACAATCACAGATGCATAGGCCCACTCGTGAAGTCTGAGCCCTCCACGGGGAGGGCCATGTGTGTGTAGCCCGCTTTTACATGCGGTTGGAGACCCGAGCTGATTTTGACCTTTGAACTGGACCTTAGTCAACTGTTACAAGTGGAGGAAGACTTCGAACTTGCTGTGTATCGATCGTAGAAAGCAGGGGAGTGCGGCGTGATTGTGGGACCGCACTCAACGAAGCTACCACAATCACGGGATACCGAGTCTGATCAACTCGGCGTACCTGCAAGTTTTAATCTTTGGTAAGGCACTAATGCATCGCTCGATGGTATCGTGGAGTTCACTTAGTATTTGATTTTTCGAGGCCATATACTTAGGAGGTTCCGGACTTTGACATCATCCTAACGCTCCCACTTCAAGACCCATTCCCCAGTGTGTGTGTGGGGGGGAGCTGTGATGTGGGTGGGTGTGCATGCATGTTGCTGCATCAATATCGAAAAATTTGGTCTGTGGCCAAGGATGCCCTAGTGCAAACTCGCCCAACTGTCTTCGGCCTGGGATATGCGCCGTATGAGAGACCAAATGAAAATACATTAATTGAAAATATGCGCCGTATTCTCCGAATATGTCGTGAAATCCTTTATGGAATGTATGAAGGCCTTGAGGCAACCCTTCCAATCTCAGCAATGCCCTGCCTCCTGGATGGTCTTCAAAGCTATGTCATCTGGAAAGCGGCCCATAGAGTCCTGGAAGCATGCGTTCACATTGTACGCTCACATCGTGCATTCAGATCGTTCCAGATTCGGACAGGTGATGTTTTTGGGTCCTGCAGGACGCCGAGCTCCTTTCCAAGCTCTTGGCTAACAAGGTCAGACCGTGTTGCCATGGTCTGCGCAAGCCTGAGAAGAAAACAATACTATATATATATACCATAATCATCAATAATCACATCACAATTGGCAATCTTGGCAGCCTCTGCAACATCGATTCAAAAGTAAAAGTGTGTGGGCATGCTCTCAGACTCTGCTCCGCTAGAGGTTCAAGACAGTGGCTTGACGAAAACAGTGCCAAGACATGCAACCTGCGAACAAGCCACCAAGCCAATATAAATCACACTCATCCCAGAATACCGAAAGACTGAGCACCAACAAAAACCCACCTCTTCTCGTACGCGTTCACCTCGCCATTCAACAGAGCGCTCGGAATCCTGGCATGTTGAATCATTGGTTAAATCGAATATGCTGAATCTTGAGAGATGTCGCTGGGTCCTGCCAAGCCGCCCGTGCAGTATTGATACGGGAGACGACCTTCGTTAAGTACAAACCAAGGATGGCGCCAACTTGTTTAGCTGTACAAACAGGAAGGTTGTCCTTTGCAACAGAGTTGAGGGAGACAAAACACTGAATGTAAAAGGTCCAACGTCGAAGGCCTCAATGAACCTGGCCACTGCTCTTAAAGGCTCTTTCCCAAAGTACCTGACGACCGCACGAGCACACTCCAATCACTGGCACACAGAGCTGAAACATGCTGAAACTATGTGTCGGAAACTATGTTTTGGAAACTGGACATGTTTCTGAATGTTCAGAAACTGCCTATCAAAACCATGTTTTGGAAACTCTATGGTTTTCGGAACAACCGGACCCCCCTCCAAGCCATCAAGCGTCTTTACAAAGTTGTATAGCTCCCCGTGTTGGTTGGTCACGACCTCCTGGCCAGGAGCTACTGGTAGCTTCTTGCTCCTAATAGCGATGCCCTTTGCTACTAGTAGCCTCCTTGCTCCTAGTAGTAAGGCCAGGAGATACTAATAGCTTCTTGCTCCTAAGCAAGTGCCTACACAAAGTTACACACTGTTGTGATTGTGGCTTGTGAAAGGCATGTTGCTGGACGGCAACCTTTTTGCTGCGGTGGCAGACACCTCACTTTCGCGATGGATTTACAATGATTTATAGATATATATATAAAGATGTTGCAGTTCCTCCTTTTTGGACCACTTCGCAGCTATTTGTCAAACATCAAACAATCGAAACTTCACGGAAACAACCAAGTCAGACCCCACTATGATCCCTCTTTGGGGAAGGCGATCCAGCACACCCGGCCACACCCTGGGTGAGTGGAATCCCTCGAGTACGCTACCTTCAGCGAGCCAGACCTCCTAGCCTCCAGTAGTCGCACTGCCCTGACTGGTTGTTGAGAAAAAATTCAAAAGCCAACTTTATTTTCTCCTCTTGCGAGTCGGTTTCGACTTCCTTCCACGGCCCCCTGCCCTTCCGACAGGAGGCTCAAGTGTTGGGAAGATTGGGCGGAGCAAGAAACTCTTATATACAGTGAGGAAAGGCTTCAACTTCGAATCGTGAGGGGGAATTTTCATTTCCGACAGCACAGACAACCCCTCGTTTATGTAGATCCTGGCACTTTTCTGAGTGTGCCAGCGACCTTGTAAAAGGATCCTGTCTAGGTTTTGGCGCTTTGCAAAGAAAAACGTTGCCCCCCCTCGCCGAAGCGAGTAGGGGCGGAATTTAAAATCTGAGATTCCGAGTGCCTCCAGTGCTTGGTTAAACAATTGGCGCCACTTGGGCGGGGACGGTGTGAGGCTAGTGCTTTCTGCAACAGTCTTCTTCCAGGCTTTGACCAAGTAGACGATGGGCTCCAGGCCCAGCACGACGCTTTCAGCGGCTCCCTGACGTTTGCCTCCTTTGGTATAACCAAGGCTGATGACAGCCTGCAGGCAGGAGGCAGCGCACTCGAGGTGCTTGGCTCGCAGCCCCAGGATTTCTCCTGTCCTCAACATGGCGTAATAGCCTACCACTAATGACAGAGCAAAGGAGTGCCAGCCTTTAAAGATGGCCCAACCGGCCATGGCTTGGACCACATGCTCCGGCAGGGGCGGAGCGCGACTGGGGATCTCATTATGCTGCCACGTGCGGAGTAACCGCCAGGCCGCAGGGAGGTTATTACGTAACCCCGGTTGCATGTCTTGCAACCCGGCCAGGGTATCACATGCTAGTCCCCGTCCTTTGCCAATGAACCAGAGATGCTCCAGGTAGTCGCAAACCAGCGGGTCCAGCTTTTTCTTCTCCTTGGGCAAGGTGAGGTGCTCTGTTTTGAGGAACGTGAGAAAAGCATCCACTGCCAGGTCATATCTCTTTCGAGTAGCTGGTTGCACTGTCAACTGTTTTAAACTCCCCAGTTTCTGCCGCATTTTTGCACGCTCTCGCTCTGTTCCGCCCTCCAAGATTCGCTTAGGCATTTCTATACTTCGTCTTCAACTGCCTCCCCCACCGACTAGGCTTGTCGGCAGGGTTGGTGTCCGTGGACACATACGACCAAACGAACTGAGAGCCAGAACAGAGAACAAGAGCGTTAATACGGGCCATGGTGCTCCGTAATCGTCGAGAACTAGTCCGTCCTCGGGTCAGAGCATGCAAACACACTAGGGAGTCAGTCAAATGCAGCAGCCGCTTTCCCAAATGCCCACAATGCTGAATGCGCCACTTTACGGCATTGAGGATAGCCCTGAGTTCCAAACTGTTGATGTGTTCTTTACCTCGACGCCATTTCCAGCCAGCCACGACGGTCCATTTCCACAGTTTGGCCGGGACGGACGCCCGGAGGCGGTGGTACTTTACCAGCTGGGAACTTGGTGTTGACAGGAGAATGTCCTCCCCCTTCATGCTGACTAGGTTGCACAACTTGAATGCCAGGTCATACTGTGAACCAGTCCCCTCACCAGCGCGGCGAAGTGGAAGGCGCACCAACCGCCCCTGGAGGGAATCTGTACCCCCTGGGCAGCACAGATCCACAACCTGTTGTGGGCTGAGGGCCGCGCTCATTCCGAGCAACGACAGCAGCTGGCTCAGAAGCCATCCCACCACCGGTACACTCCAAGAGTTTCCAATCAGAGTGAGTCGAGCGTCGAGGTACCCTTCTTTCTTCCTCTCGGATTTGCACCAACACGCCGCTGTATAATGGAGAGGAAACCCCATCATCAGCTCCCTCTCAGAGATGGAGGGGACACGGATTGCCCGTTTGCGGTTGTGGACCCCATGGGCGTCTTTATATTGGTACGGCGGGAAGCGATGCCAATCATCAGCCCACCGTTTCAACTCATGAGTGGAGCACTCACGCATGCCCGCAGGCTTTCGCCCCGGCGCCCACGAAGGTCTCGATGTGGTAAAGGTCGGAAAGGCCTGCTTCGGGTCCACCTTCGTCCACCCGGGCTCCAATAGGTCTTCCAGCTGTTGATGGGCCTCCAGCACCCAAGTGTCCACCTGAGCCCCGCGAACTCGGGAGGCACCTTCCCCCTCTTGAAGTTCCCACGTGGTCCAGTATAGCCGAGGCCTATGACACCAGGTCATTTGCCCCGCGTCGATGTGCACCGGTGCTCCGCCGAAGTCATCGCTCATGATGTCTCTGTCACTGGTATCCATAGAACTCACCGACTCCATCAAGGTGTGGACCTGACACCAGCGAAAATTTTGGCGGGCTAGCGTCGCGATCCGTGTCACGTGTACAAAGAGTGACGACCTAGCGTCACGAAGTGCCCCCTTGCGATCAGAGTTTAACCCTGAAACTCCTTGACAAGGTGGGCCCGCGCCCACAATCACCAGGTCAGCCTGGGAGAACTTCAGGGACCATGCTTCAACTTCAACTGCAGTGATGGTGGTGACGTCATGGTAGTGCAGGGCTCCTGGATAATGAGACTCTATGACACGGCGCGCATGAGCTTCCTTCTCCACGGACACATAACCCAACACCGATACCCCTTGAAGATCCATGGCCACTCGGAGCGCGCCAATTCCGTCAAATAACCCTATAACCACTACCTGGAACTGTTCGGCGGGGCGAGGACGTTGCCCACGTAGTCCCCCTCGTAGCGCCATGCTGCCCACAGATGTGAGGCGAACCGACCGACACACCCCGCCCCCCGAAAGTGATGCGTCCGAGCAGGTAACCATGGGATCGACATCACACCGGAAGTTCATCTGGACCAGGGGCATGAGGCAGAGGAAACGCAGGATCTCAAAACGACACTCCTTGGGCAGCGGCTGGTACTTCTGCTGGTTCTCGCTGAAGGACTCGATGAACCGCCACACCGCGTTTAGCAGGCCCAACATCGGCCGTCTGAACATGGCAAAGTAGACCAGGCCCCCACACACCACCTGCATCTGCCTCTGGGTCACATAACGTTGTTCCACTAGCTTCATTCCCATACTCATGTACTTGCTCAGCTTGGCCTCTTTGGGGTAAGCTAGTCCACGTACCCCATCAACCGTCGCTCCCTGGAGCTCACAGCGTGCTGATCGCTCTACAGACTTCTTGGCATTCCTGGGCACGTCCCATCGTTCGTACTCCGACCTGAGAGCTAGAATACCCGGTGGGATCGTACCCTCCTTTTCAACCATCCCGGTGGCATCCACGCGCTCCAAGAGGTCATAGTTATCCAAGTAGACCCTCCAGGACGTCTGCGCCGATGGGAAAGGGCGATCCTTCCTGAGCTCCTGGTGACCAAGGTTGACAACCTTCCCCTCATGTGTGGCCCATTGGACCAGGTTACGGTGCACATTTTGGGCAAGGCTCACAGAGTTAAGGAACCCCATGGGCAGCACCCGTGAGGCCAAGTACACCGTCTTACCCTTGAGGTCTTCCGGAAGGACTTCGGCCGGCACCTCCTTGTTGAAGGCCAAGAACCTGACCCAGCATTGTGGCAGCCGCATCGTGTAAAAGAAACACTTCACATCTTCGGATGATACCAAGAGGTTCTCCCCCGGCTGGAGGAAAAAGGGGCTCATCATTCCCCAGGAGGGGAGGGTGTCCACGTCCCCTCCCAGGGGCTGACAGAGAGCATTCAATGGCGTCAAATTCATAATAAGGCGGCAGATCTCAGTG